ATTCCCGTTGAGCAAGACCATCGTTACATGGTTAACGTGGTATCCTCTGCGATAGTCAACAAGCCACCACCGGCAGCAATCGCCAACCTCTTGGCAAGCCGCAACAAGATCCATCATCTCGATTCAGACACGGACGAGACGCTTATGGCCCTTTTCGACAAGGACCCTGGTAATTCTACCAAGACGCGATCATCCAATAACGTCACCATGCCCAGCCGAAACTATGCTATCATCACGGAGAACTCGCCGAACAACTATGGCGCTCCTACTAACGGCCACACAGAGGCAACAGATGTTGGGAATCAGTTCGATGGTAAAAGCGGACATTCATTCCTGTCTCATGGTGAGCTTGGTGCGGGTACGAAACATAAGTCGGCCGATTTCGAAACTCACGGCAAACATAACGACGGCGCTCTCGACATCTGTATTCGGGTAGAGATTGATCAGCACGATAAGGAAGGCCAGACCGAACCGTACGGTCTTACGGTCCCGGTCTTGAACTACGAAGCTGGGAAGTTTGGTACCAATGCGCATTCTCACCACCTTCGCCACAGCCGAAGCAGGCCGGGCACGTCTGGGCGTGCTAGTACCACTGCCCCGAGTACCGCCCCTTCGGTGCCTTCGATACCAGTCTCAGCGCCGGAAGGCGGTCGCTAGTGGTGGCCGGTCCGTCGACTGAGCGGCAATCGGTGCGCCTAAAAGTGTGTTTGATTTGCGATTTGTTTTAGATGGGTGATTTCGGGGAACTGTACGGCTCGCAACCGAGTTGAGAACGGACGCATGTGTTGAACAGGTTTGTGGAGATGTGATTCTCGTGGCCCCTTGGCTGTCCCCGGCCTTGTTGAAGAGCAGGATAAGAACACGAGCCTATGGCTTAATGAAAAGGAAATGAACAAGAAAGATAATACCCCAGAAAGAGGATGAGTACGATGCATTAATCATTGAGGCCCCCTTTTATACTTCTGTACTTTTATACTACTCTGCTGATAATTCCATCGGCAACTTGATAATCATTCGATATTCAAGCCTACCTTACTGTTCTCTCCACGTTGCATTCTTATCCCGTGATTTGGCATATCTCCGTGCCTAGATTACATACTCCACAGGCCCTAAACTACTACTATTGACTGCGTTTAGGGATTACCAAGGCTGATGACATGGCTTGGTCAGGGGTAGAAGTCTAGCCGTTTTGATCAAATGCAAGTTTATCAACTGGAGTGACCGGGTCGGGCTGCCGATGTTGTAGGTTAGGGTTCGAGACGGTAGGGTGATAGGGCGACTCAGAAGCTTGATGCCGAATTCGGCTGTTCCACAGCAAATGCTGAGCTCCTCATTGGTCCGTTCCGTTCAATTGGGACTTCAACTGCGTGCCCCGCAAAGACGTATGGTTTATGCCGTGACAAAGCGAGCTCCTACATCATTCTCATCGGAGTTGGACCGCCGATGAAGCTTCAATCTGTCGAGCTCTGCGTCTAATAAGTAGGGAGCTATATACGTTGGATTCAATTGGTACTACTCGTTCGGTACACACTTTTCCAAGTCTCCGGATACCTATTTCACCACAATTCGGGTTAACACGTTCGGGCATTGGATCATTTGAGGTCCAGCGTTATTAGTTAATTGACTCGAGTATTCTCAGCTCGTACCTTTTCTTACTTCTCAATATGGCATCTGCACCGAGGAGCTTTGGCCTTGCGAGGGCTTTGCAACATAGCTCGTCTCTGTCTTCTAGAGTCTGCTCAAGATGTCTACCAACCCTTCGCTCACCCAGAAATATGAGGGCGCTGAGTACGACGAGTGCAAGGATGACGTTGGCTGCTTTCAAGATACCCAAAGTTATAAATGAACCAAACGTACGTCGATCATACTTGGTTCTCGACTATGCAGATTGTTTCGAAAGTCAATATTAACAACACGCGTAGCACCATTACGCAAAGGGTTCAGCGCAAAGAGAAGGACTCCTTGCCACAGTCGCGTCCCAACAGAGCAAGGGCACGATAGAAATACCACTCGTAATAGGCGGTAAAGAGGTACGCACGATTCAACGGTCATGCATAGTAATGCTCGGCATTTGACCTATCGAGTAGATCAAAACGGCACAAAAATCCACGCAGCACAACCCTGCCGACCATGCTGCTGCGGTAGCAACCTATTCCCTTGCTAGTCCCTCCGACGTCAACGAAGCTATCGAAGCCGCATTAGCAGCCAAGCCAGCATGGGAATCGCTCCCTTTCGCTGACAGGGCAGCCGTTTTCCTCAAGGCAGCCGATCTCATCTCCACCAAATACCGATACGAGATAATGGCTACCACCATGCTGGGCCAGGGCAAAAACGCATGGCAGGCCGAGATCGATGCCGCAGCAGAGCTGTGCGATTTCCTCCGTTTCAACGTCCAGTACGCCGAGGAGTTATACGCCCAGCAGCCCGCCCACAACTCGGCCGGCCTGTGGAACCGAATCGAATACCGACCTCTCGAGGGTTTCGTATACGCGGTCAGCCCCTTTAACTTCACCGCCATTGGAGGTAACCTAGCCGGTACGCCTGCGCTCCTGGGTAATGTGGTAATCTGGAAACCCTCCGACTCTGCCGTCGCAGCGGGCCACCTGCTGCACAAGATCCTGCTCGAGGCGGGTCTGCCGGAGAACGTGATCCAATTCGTGCCCGGCAACCCTGAGGAAGTGACCAAGACGGTGCTCGCGCACAAGGAGTTCGCCGCGCTGCACTACACGGGCAGTACGGCCGTGTTCCGCAAGCTGTACGGGCAGATCGGGCAGGGCGTCGCTGAGGCCCGCTACCGTGGCTACCCGCGCATCGTCGGGGAGACCGGCGGCAAGAATTTCCACCTCGTCCACCCTTCTGCTGACATCCAGAACGCCGTAGTCCATGCCATCCGCGGCGCCTTCGAATACTCGGGCCAAAAGTGCAGCGCCACCAGCCGCCTGTATGTCGCCAAGTCCATCTGGCCCGAGTTCAAAGAAAAGCTCGTTAAAGAGACCAAGGCGCTCAAGGTCGGCGCGCCCTGGGAACCCGAGAACTTTATTGGCCCCGTGATCCACGAGCCCAGCTTCAAGAAGCTGGCTAGCGTGATCGACGAAGCCAAAAGCGACCCCGAACTCGAGCTTTTGGTAGGCGGCAAGTACGACGGCTCGAAGGGGTACTTTGTGCACCCGACCATCTACCAGACGACGAACCCGGCGCACAAGCTGCTCTCGACGGAGCTGTTCGGGCCGATCCTGGCCGTGTACGTGTACGACGACGCAGCACCGGACGCGTTCGCGGAGGTCTGCGCGCTCGTCGACGGCACTAGCGAGTACGGGCTCACGGGCGGCGTGTTCGCCACCGACCGTGGCGCCATCCGCCAGGCCGAGGACGCGCTGCGCAACGCGGCGGGCAATTTCTATGTTAACTGCAAGAGCACGGGCGCCGTGGTCGGCCAGCAGCCGTTTGGTGGCGCTAGGGCTAGCGGCACTAATGATAAGGCTGGCAGCATCAATATTATTAGTCGGTTCGTCAGCCTGCGCAGCATCAAGGAGGAGTTTGTTGCTAGTGAGGTTGTTGCGTATCCTAGTAATGAGGTTTGAAGTTGAGGTTTTGAAGGGAGGGAGATAGGGAAGGAAAAGAGGGGAGAGGAAAGAGGAAAGAGGAAAGAGGAAAGAGGGGAAGGGGGAAGGGGGAAGGGGGGAGGGAAAGGGGGACAGATAAATTGGGGTTGAACTATGGCAAAGACTGAGGCTCGGGGCTCAAAATAAGGGTTCAGCTAATACTACGGTTGGAGGTAAGGGCTTGAAATACAAGCTATGAAACTGGGTTAAGTAGACGGTTGCTCTGGTTGATATAGCACTAGGAAGTGAGCGTATGGTGAAGGGGTATACAGAATGAAACCTATGAACCGAGACAGTGCCCATATCATTGTACCAGGTAGAGATGTGATTAAATTGGGGGTGAAATAGGGGTTAGGGGCGCGCACAGCTCTAATAATGCATTGCTATTTGGAGTCAAGGAGGAGCTACCTTTCATTGGGAAAAGGGCCTGGTAGTTCTCTCGGGTTAACAGGCTTTAACGCAACTACTGGCTTCAATTGCTAATAATATCCTTGTAACTCTTGTTCTTACATGATGGTAAGCGATGCTATACTATTCAATATTCAGTCCTAAGTCGAATGGCTGCTAACCCCATCTCGTTACCCTCTAGTTCGCGTCAAAGTAGAAATATGTACGTAGAAGAGAGTTTCCTCGCGAGGCCTGGGTCCCGGCAAAGAGTAGTTCTGATGTTTGACACCTAGCCCTTCGCGTGGTCTTCGACACTGCTGAGGAACCTCGCGATTGCCAGCAACTCGTCAAACATAAATGCATCGGACAGAGCCGGCGTCTTACCGTCGTAACACATGAGCTTCGCCCGAAAGTATGGCTCGTACCGCGAGCTCCGCGCTATACGCCTTCTTGAACGCGTCGAGCATCTCCGTGCCCTTCATCAATCCTGGGATGATGATCCGGGGGCCCTCTTTGATGGTGCTGATGATGAGCTGCGCCATTATCGCTTCTTCGACTATCGTCAGAAGCTTGCGATGCTCGCGCTCGCCGTACCGTATGTTCCCCAAGGCCACGTTAAACCGCGTCTTGTAGGGGCCTCAGTTGTACGGGCCGGACAGCCACCTGCTGCGGTCTATGTTTAATGTGAAGCTCTTCCAGTCTAGGTATGTCTTTGGTGCTGCCTTCGGGGCATAGGGCGGAGGTAATGGGGTTTCCTGTTTGTTTTTGAGCATCTCGCTAGCAACGTTCTCACCAACATTCTCCGTCATTTGATCGCGTAAACAATCCTTATGAGATTCTTCGCGGTCGACTCGCTAACTACGGCTTCTTCAGGTGGTTTGGGCTGTAATCTGTCTTGGACCTTAATAGACTGTCTTGATGTATGACTTTATATATTTAAAAAAGGACAACAATAAGACCAAAGAAATCAAACTAGAGAGAATAAAAAGGGAAGGGGTGCCAATAGATATCTACCATCGCGGGGGTTCGAACCCCGGTCTCCAGAGACTTCAAGTCTTGAAAATCTGGCATCCTAACCGCTGGACGACGATGGTTGTTTGGCGTTGGTTGTTGTTGCCTTATTATTGTAGCTTATGATGTTTGTCTCTACTTATGTACCTACTACATTACTAGTACGGGTAGGCGTATGCTTCCTTCAGTTTACTATTTGACGTCATAGGAGGTAGGTTCATTAGCTGGCTATCCTACATATACCTAGGTAGTTACTGGTAGGTACTAGGTACAGAACCATTTTGTTGTTTCAGTAGGTATCTAAGAGGTGTGTAAATGAAACGTGGGCTGACAAGAGCTCGCTTGGATACTTAGAAATAGTAGGGCTACATCCGACCATGGAAGAAGTGTACTCATCTACTACCTAGTCTACAGGCTATCCTGAGCTTGAGAGATCAGACGGGTTCTATGTCTTACTCCTATTTGTAAATAGTGACTTACAACTTTAGTTCTAATATTGATGATTCAATACAACATACCTATAATTCTATACCTTAGGTATGTACACCACATGTGTGGTTCATTGAAAGTGATACGGTACTACACTCGCTGCCGTGTCACAACATATTGTAGGTGCTACCGTATGTAGCACACAAACGGCTTACTGACACACTAGAGGCAAGGTAGGAGACGGTTTAGTCTCATATTCGGTGTGATATTTAATGATAGGGTACCGAGGTAATTTCATCGCCACTCGTGTATGGCGTTGCTACTGTCACGATGCGGACCATAGGGGGAGGATGAGCGTTTGATTGAACTGAGACAGATACTATTGGAACAAATTCGCCCTCCCGCGTATCTAGCTTTCGATATTGTTGCTTGGAGACTTATGTACTGAGATCGACGCCATAATAGAGACACTTGCTGCACCACGAGAGTGTCTACATGATAATGGTCATGATAGCCCCTATTGGAAATATAGCGCCAAGAAAGAGGCTTACTAGCAAATGTAACTTATGATGACTCAGGTGAGAGTAAAACCACACGCCATACTGAGGTAGGGTGTGGTACATAGGTGAATCGAGTACAAGTCCATGTTACAACAGCTGAGGGCTAGGAAATTGGGGTTGCCACGTCTTTCTCGAGAGGACATACGATGGCAAAACGTTTAAAGGTCTTAAAATGGGTATAGTTCGTGTGTCAACGTACATGTTGGTCCTGTTCTGTCACCTCATTTATTTCTGGTAATTTCTACTCTTTCCCTCCTTAGAGGTATGCCTTTTCTCAATATGTTGAAACCCTTTAACTGGTTTCAACAGCAACCTGGGAATCATTCTACCGGATATGATATTATAGGAAGTAGGCTAGACTACTCAGAGAAAGCGGACGGGGCGGATCTATGTGAACTCGGTCACGATGACGAGGCCAATGAATTCACCACCGCGTATAGGCAAGGTCAATGGAAAAAGGGGGTAATATGTCATCTCAGGAAATTGGTAGTACTTCTACCAAGTTTTCTTCATCCTGTTGATCCTTCCGTAAAACCTAGAGATCTCCACACAACAGCGTGGTTGGGTAAGATACAACGTTATGAACTTTATACCCTCGAGGAGCCGCACTAACAGAGTGAAGATGGCCTCCGAGGAATAGCAGCTTTCTTCGTCGTGTGGCATCACTTATCGTTGATATGGTTCCCATGGAACATACACAATGGATGGACCGGCTCCAGTGACCCTTTCATTCGATTTCCCATCATCCGGCTCACGATATCGGGTCTACCAAACGTCATGGTGTTCTTCGTTATATCTGGATACGCCCTGAGTTACAAGCCACTGAGACTACTCCGCCAAGACCGGCTCCCTGACGTATATAATACTCTAGCGTCGTCTACTTTCCGTCGGCACCCGCGGCTTTTCGTACCAGCGGTCGTTCTCTGCATTCCCTGCATTATAATAGCATATACTGGCATGTATGGGGACGGCGAGCAGATGCCTGGAGCTGCGGTAACGACGTTAGATCCACCGCGCTGCGACACGCTCTGGCAACAAATTCTCGATTACGGAGGCGCCGTGGGTCATCTCTGTGACCCCTTCACTGGCAATGGGACAGGTTGGATCTACAACAACGCGCTTTGGACGTTGCCTATTGAGTTCCGGAGCTCGCTCGTCGTGTTCGGACTGCTACTCGCACTATCGCGGGTCGGCAACGGCGTCCGAATGCTCGTTGTAGGCGCGGTGGCGCTCTACTGCCTCTATTTCGTCCACTGGGCTGAGTTCCTCTTCGTCGGGGGAATGCTCGTGGCGGATCTGCAATTCCACTTCTCCAATCCCGGCGAATGTGCTACTAGACCTAAAGACCTCGGAACGGGAATCTGGCGTCGTAAGGCGCGTTTCATGACGGATGCTCTGCTTCGATGTTGGAGACGAGTAGCTGGCTGTGGCATATTTCAGATTGTGACCACTTTGATCTCATTCTTTGGGGCGCTCTATCTATTGAGTATGCCAAAGTTGGAGCGCGGCGGAGCTGAAACTCCCGGTTTCAAGGTCCTGGTAGCGACAATCCCGGAACGTTGGCAAGAGGCAGGGTTACCCGATCACTTCTGGCTCTCGGTCGCTGCGGTCTGGCTGGTATGGACGATCGACTGCACCAAATTCCTACAGAGGATATTCACCTGCCGCTTCGCCCAGTACCTGGGACGCATATCATACTCCCTTTACCTTGTGCATTTAGTCATACTACATAGTTTTGGGTTCCGAGCCGGTCGATTCTTTGTAGGACTGGCTGGATCTGACACGGAATCTCAATATTTCGCGGGCATTCTGGCGGCAGCGATTGTCTTCTGGTTTATCGTTATTTGGGTGGCTGATCTGGGATGGCGCTTTGTCGATGCTAAGACAGTCCGGTTCACATATTGGGTATATCATCGGCTTTGTAAGAGCGTGATATCATGAATGATTTTAAGATAGGAGGTATTCTACAGGCGTCACTTTCTATTTTTAAAATTATATAGAGCGGATAGGTCTCGCGGTACAATGCGATTTTAGAAACACCAATATTACTATATGATATCTTTTCGTTACGTCGTGAAGATGGACTTACAGTAAAGAACCTATTATCGGCGAAGGTGTGGCCAGACCAGTCCCTTACCATACCTACTACTTGAAATCGCCTATTATAGAAGAGTGACGTTATTTCCAGAGTGCAAGAAAATCCCTTAAATCTAGAGTGTTTTTAGAACTACCTAACATCACCTGCCCACCTATTTTACTAGGTAGTAGCTGCCGCGCACCACCCCCTCCGAGCGAAGGTGTGTCGCGTAGCATGCCTCCTTGTGTGACGGGCCTAGGGACTCAACAATCACCTAGGCATCCAGTATTCGTAGAGATAGGTAAGATCTGGGCGTCAAGTCTCTTATCCTCGGTGGAATTGGAACTAGTGGCGTTGTACTGGGTACAACTCTGCAGGGGACTGACGAAGACTTCATCGTCACGGTGGTCGAGGAGGTGGTCTGGGATCTTAACGCACAAGTGAAATCTAGCTAGACTCGGGATACTCTACTCTGTTGGGTATTCAATGCTGAATGATGTCCTGGTCTATCATTCTCTTGCTCAAGGAACAGCCTTTTCCGTCCTGGCCGTTGATGGGATACCATCTTCAGCCTTTACAGGATCAGGTGCATTTGTGCTCTTTTTGAAACCAAACTCTGTCTCGCTGCTTTTACGTAGTTCAATGTGTTTTTCAATAAAGGTAGCAAGAAAGCCCAGGCACGAGATACCAACAAATACCAGCCACACGACAGTCAGGGACCTCTCGTACACCTCGATTACCTGACTTCTGCTTGGATCAGGCAGACTTCTAACGCCGGAGTCGGCATTACCGCTACCGGCGGCGAAAGAATATGCGGCACCGTCAGCGAGTAGTCTTCGTAGGTCGACATTATCGATAGTGTCTAAATTATGGTTGACCTGGCCGTTGAACACAATGGAAGACATGGTGACGCCCTAGACAAAGCCTAGGGACCTCACGAATGCGTACGTGCCTGTCGCAGTCGCCACGTACGACTCCGGCAAGGCTGCAAGCGTAGAGGGCAGCGTTGCTGTGAAGACGAAGCCAGAACCCCCGGACACAAGCACCTGATATCCAATCCAAGCCCCCACGGTGGAGTCGGTGCGGAACGTGGAAAATAACCCAAGGCCAATGGCAATCAGGGAAAAGCCAGCCCAGTGCAAAATCTTGTATCTGCTGGTCTTCGAAAGGATGATCCTAGACATGATACTAAAAGGGATAATGGCGAGAGCGAATGGCAGGTAATTCACGCCAGACTGAAAATCTGAGGTAGGTACCCTTGACGCCCTGGAAGTAGACGGGTAGAAAGTAGTTGGCGGCCTGGAGGATAATGGATGCTAGGAAGATGAGGAAAAAACTTGTAACCGATGTGCAGGATTTGAACAGATGCGGCGGCATACTAGGCTCGCGACAGAATCGAGAAGCTTGGTGAAAATGAAAGACAATCCAGCCAGCGATACCCAGAACGATGGGCATTATTATACGCCACGACGACCAAGGATAGCCCGCAGTGCCGCCCATGATGAGGCCGAAGTAGAGCGAAACCAAGGAGGGGACAAAGATGGCTGTTCCAGAGAAGTCGACACGGGCAAGCGCGCTCTTCCAGGTCGGGCTTCGCGTATACTGTACATTTAAGGCGAAGAATATCACAATGCAACTCACTGCTGAGATGGGGAGGTTGAGCCAGAAGATCCAGCGCCAGTTGCTCTCAGCAAGCGCTCCGCCGATAATGGGGCCGAGAGTAGTCCCAATAGCGGCTCCCGACATGGTGATGCTGAGCCACGGCCCGTGGGAGCGAGGAGGGATCAGGTCACAGATAATAATCTCCGGAAGGACAGCGATGCCACCAGCACCGAATTCCTGTACGGCACGGCCGACGATCAGCATGGCCACGTTCGACGCGCCGCCCCCGATACCACTTCCGAGGGCAAACAATGCGATTGCCACAAACAAAGGGTTGCGTCGGCCAAAGATGTTGGCGATCTGGCCATAAAAAGGCAGAGGTACCGTCGTGGCTAAAAGGTAGGATTGCGCTACC